GTTCGCTCAACATCACAAAAGAAACGATAAAGATCGAAACCAAGAAAAGCGATTAAACTACGAAAACGGGAGTTTGAGAAAGCAATAAGAAAGCGATGAAGACGATTGAACGGAAAGAAAAGTCTGGAGCCAGCAGCGGGGATTCTTCGGCTCCAGTGGCGGCGGCGAAAGAAAACGAGGAGCGGGGTGCTGGGTTAGAAGAAGTCATGGCTGCCTTGCGCGTGCGGTGGTTCGTTGTTCAAAACTCGGAGTGGGAACAATAAGATGAGAAGAAAGAGAAATTGGCCTTTTCCTGATGTGTCTGGGTTGTTCGGTACAACGACCCTTTAGTTCCTGGAACCGTTAGGCATTCAAATTCAATAACACATTTGAATGGTGACGTGTAATTTTAATTACTTTTTAAAATATAATAATATATTTTAAAATAAAATTTTTTATTTTTTTTATTAATTATAGATAATTTGTTTTGATTTAATGAAATAATATTATCATATTTTAATTAGAAAATCTTGGTCTTCATATATCATAATTTTAATATGTATAATAATTATCTATAAATTTTTAATTAAAATGATAATATATATATATATAATAGATCAAATAGAATTTAAGTGATAATATTTAAATAATTAATTTATTTAATTTTTTTAAAATATAAAAAATAAAACATAATTTTTAATTTATTATTTATTTTCACTTGTACAGATCTTTTATTGAAAAATAAAATATGATAAAATATTCGTGACATAAATATTTTTTATAAAAATCTAAATTTTAAAAAAAAAATAAACCAAAAAAAGTTCTTTTTTTTTTAGTAGTGTGTGTATTTTTTTTATTTTTTTTATTCTGTATTTTTTTATAACTTCTCAAAATTATTTTATAATTATAACATGTATGTAATATAGACGAGAAATTTAATTATAATAAATAATTTTAAAATATAAATAATATTGCGAAAGATCCTCTTAAAATAACAATTAAAATTTTAAAAACAAAACCCAACTCTAGAAAATACTTATTCTTTTAGCATTCAATTTTTATAATTTATTTAATTAAATATATCATATTTTTAATAATATTCATTTCTTTTGCAGTCTTTATGTTCAGTCTCTCCCTACTGCGTCAACCAGAGCCTAAATTTACATTGTTATTCAATTTACTTAACGAGGAAAAACAAGAATAATGCAGTTGGAAGATGACCTAAAGAATCTATACGATTAAGAGGACTGCGCTCAAAATTTCTCTTTTATTTGTTCGCTTATACTCGCTACTACAAGTTAAAAATTACAACAACACCGCAGGACAACCAGCTTTTCATAATGCTAAAAATTTATCAACCAAAGCATAAAATGCAGAAGGAATTATGGAGTCCTTGTAGTAATATACTAAGCAGTTGACTTCAAAGATCAACTTTCATCATCCACGACTTGATTGTTAACATACAGACTCTCTCTTCTTTTGGGGAACCCTGGAGGTTCCAGGGTGGAGCCTCTAAATTTGAGTTCCGAAGATGGCCTGAAATTGGAGTCAACTGGGGTAGGCCTGGAGGAGGTTGGGTCTGCAGAGCCTGCTGGCCTAAAAGACGTGGGTGCTCCACCAGGATATCTTGTCGGAGATGGATATCTCCTTGGTGGACCTCTAAGACCAGTACTGCTTCTCAAATCAACAATGTCAGAACTTCTTGAAGAAGAGTCACCGACGAAAGGCCGATTTTCTGAGCTCGAATGCAGTAAAGTTGCAGGAGCAGAAGCAGGAGGCGGCGTCGTGGAGGTAAATGGGTCATCTGTTCCCCATGAAGTAAGTGCCTCTTTCTTCTTGCAAAGAAGTGCCAGCC